TTTTTTTGAGTTGAAGAAAGCGACAAAAGCTCAACACTAAAAGGAAACCCTCTCAATGGCAGAAAAAAGCTTGTAACTAAAATCTTGAGTTGATATTCGCATTTCCTCTTTCTCTTCGCATTCGCGGAGAGTCTCACACCGTTCGCCTAACTGTGTTCTGTTGAAGTACAAGAAATGTCGTACCGTCTTGTATATGATCAACCAAGAATTGATTGGTGTTGCGGTTTACTTGTGTTGTGAATTACTCTAGATTTGCGTAATAAGTAGATGTTGCCGTAGCCCTTTCCAGCAATCTCAGCAGTTATTATTTGGAAAGTGAGTAGGTTGAGAAGAGTAAGCCCTTCAGTTATTTACTTCGGTGGATATCGTGATTCACATTAAACTTGATTCGGACAGTGCACAATAATCGCATGTAGCAAGGTGCTATGCGCTTTAGATTTTTCTCAACAATAAGGAATTTTACACACTTGAGCAAGGTTACGATAGTTTTTAGGGTTACGACGGTGTTACATGACAGCTTCTTTCCTTTCATCGTCATAACACACGACCTTTCGTCTCGTTGGGTGGGTGTTTAGCCGAGAAGCTCCTTCTCTGCTTCAGCCTCAGCAATTCGTGACAATTTAGTGAACACCTAAGCAAATTGACAGATATGGAATCTGCGTGCCCAAGGAGAAATAAAAGGCCACTTCGAGTCAAAAGGCATCACATATTAATACAACACCCTGGTCTTCACTATTTGCAAAATGTACAACTCTAGCCACAAAATTAGGAAGTAAACAGATAGGTGTGCTCACGCTGTCTACCATATATTCATAGGTTTACGAAAGAAATGATGCAGTCTCCTTCTTTTATTATACCTTACATGGTTATCACACCGTATTCCTGCAAAGAAGGTTGAGGTACACGAATGCACCCATTCTCACTTTTAGATTGCAGCATAGCTGCGGATTGAATCCCTTTTATACCCTCTAAGCGGCAGGAAGAACCATCAGGTTCCGTTACGGTGTAGAACACCTAAAATTTAGAGTTCCTTGTAACATATGCACATAATAGCTTACCAGACTTACCACGTCATCAAACTCACACATAAATTTGAATTTGAAACTTTTTTCATACATCAGAGCTATATCGAGGTTGCTCGCATTAACTGAGTAAATTTCTATGGCTACAGGTCCCCAACTCACCACTTGCCCGGTAGAGAGGTAAGCTGGAATTACAGGTTGTGATGGCTAGGTGAGCACCTTCATGTATCCGTACAGACTCACCAATACTCACATCATGACATGTTGTGTCAACCCATCGCAGGTCAACTTTCTTTGACAATTCTCCATCAGTGTCAACGTAAACGCAACTATCTACAATGTACGTATGTGCACACGATACGCAAAATTAAGCGCGGTAGGAACCATTACGTGGATCAAATCGAAGAATTACCGTCGTAACAAAATAGTAGCTGCGTTCCAGCACTGTCCGGAAGTATAGCTATGCAGCGAGGCACGACATGTTTCTGAACTAAGCAAAATCAAACACGTGTGGATTTTCAAACCTGGATGTAAAGAACTAAACACGTGATTACTTACGTTGAAAGGTGTGTATATATCGTATATCGTACTGGAGTCAAGGTCAATAGCGTGAAACCCTTGAACTGAAGCATATAGCACTTTCAGACGTACATGATTTTCCAGTGTCAGATCAACGATGAGTGGCGACTGTGGTAACGATTCGAAAGACTGGAAGCAGCAGAATGTTGCTTGTGATTAGAAGGTCAAACACGCATGTTGGATTTCCTTGAATGAAATCCTGGTTTACCTTGAAAGGCACGAACTTAGAATGAGGCCCAGGTTCCCACATGTATATTATAATATCAAACTCCAAACCAACAACCAAGTACTTTTGATGTTCATAGCAAACTGATTTGAAGTGTTGAGCGCCCTGCAAGTCGTCAAGATTCTTCCAACGTTTTTGTATAGCTGCTCCCCTTGCAAAACCCTAAAGTTAGCCATCAACATAGAATTAGGATTTGGAAATATTACTTTTGCGTCCAAAAGCTTTTGCATTAGCCAACCCAGATTGTATATCCTTATCCTTCGCTTCTTTCCAGAAATTGTAATAAGCAGATTTTCGGCTTCCAACACGGCCAATTGCTCAAAACGACGTTGGGAAATCAGCTCATATACTGAACCAAAAAATTAGAGTAGTAGTGCGAAAGAAGGAAAGGTCGGAGATTTTTAGAGCTACTTTCAAATCTCGGTACCTTTGCTTTGACGACTCCGATCAAATTCGCATAACATGAGGCCGCCGTCGGCTCCTATCAGCAAATTCTCACCCCACGGTGCAGCACATAGTAATTCGAATTTAAACATGGTAGCAAGCCGCCACATCATCATTCCATCAGGCTCATGGACTCCGTTTCGCGTGGTGTTGCTTAGCTAGGGGAGAATATAGAGTATAGAGAAAACAATATATTACCAGGTCATTCCAAAGTAATTTCGGTTATTTCGTACGAGCGTTACATCCCGCAGAAGGAAAGTCATGAAAGATCTCAAATGCATTCGATGTAGCTTTTCATCCTTTTTTGAGCTGTTATGTTTCTGTTGTGTTGAAACCATTGCGTCTCATTCAACAATGTGAGCAATTCACGGTTTTGCCAAGGTCGTTTCGCAGTTTGGGTTAGAGCATACCTAATAGAATATCGTTTCAAAGATTTCACTGACTGGGTCCCCGGCCTTACGGCGCCAACGTCTCAATCAATCATATTGTTGTGGACATATTTGTGCTAGAATAGACTCACCTGCTGCATGACCGTTATCGCATCCTTCTCCTTGCGAAGTAAAAATGACCACTGCTCGTACTCACGTGACTATGGGAAAACTTGGTTAAAACACGATAAGCAATCATTTTCCTGGTATGAGTGGACAAAACATAAATCAATAAGGACTCCTCTTCCAGAAGTAGCCTACTTCTGCGCCAAGGTCGAAGCATACAGTGACCGCCAAAAAGTTGCGGACAAGCCTCC